TTTTTTTTTTTATTTGACGGTGATGTCACGTTCGAACGTGAGGTTGCAGCACGCTGACTGTTATACGGTATATTATTAATCCTAAGTTTTATTACAGCAAATACTTTCCGTAATATATAAAGTGGTAATCACGTTATCCGCTAACTTATAATTGGAAGAGTTGCCGGGAACCTTTTATCAACCGTTTCACACGAACCATTTTTTTTACTCGTCCCACTTCGCAAATGCATAATTTTCACGTTGCATCGAAAGTTAATAATCTCAGCGTTAGATACGCAAAATTCGATACGCGAAATATTATGTAAACATGTAAAATTACAGAAACCGTAATGTATAATGTATAATGTAATGGAATATTATACGTATAATTACGCAATAGAACGGAATACGGAGTACAATAGAGACGGAGTACAGTGAGAAAAGAAGCAAATCTCGGCGTTGATACGTAAAATTGTTGAAATTGTAATTTTATAATGGAATATATAATTATGCGAATATAATAGAACGGAATACGGAGTATAATATAGTGAGAAAAGAAGAAAATCTCGGCGTTAATGCGTAAAATTTGATAAGTAAAATTGCAGAAATTGTAATTTTATAATGAAATATATAATTATGCGAATATAATAGAACGGAATATAGAGTATAATATAGTGAGAAAAAGAGCAAATCTCGGCATTAATGCCTAAAATTCGATAAGTAAAATTGCAGAAATTGTAATTTTATAATGGAATATATAATTATGCGAAAATCCGATAAGTAAAATTGCAGAAATTGTCTTTTCATCCTAGAATATATAATTATGCGAATATAATAGAATGTGGAGTATAACAAAGCGAGTAAAGAAGCAGAGTTCGAGAAGTTTGAATTTTGTTAACAATTCGCGTGAGTACGTGAGTCACGTAAATGCGTGAATTCACGTAAAACGAAAGCAGATCTCTTTTGTAAATAAAAATATACACAGGGCACGGGTCGAATCGCTTCTGTGCGTGGATAACGCGCGCGTTTGCCCGCGATTCTGAATTTATATTCAGCAACCTTGCAAATGTATGTACATTCGATTTTCCATCTCGCTTGTATCCCATCGTGCAAGAACAACAAAACCCTCGATATCCAACAAATTCAGCTTTTTACACGGCTGGTTTCATTCGTATTATTTCGCGACCGATTCACCCGCTGTTCATAATCTGCGACAAAAGATCTTTTTTATTCAGCGAAGAGCAAATTTGAATCCTCCGCTCGGTAATGTAACGAGATGAGGTTGTATTTAAAACATCGAATAGAACGAAAGGTCGTTGTGCTGGATCGAATATTAATTGAATTTATTTCATTTATTTTCAGGAAAGATGGAACTTTTTCTGTTTTCAGTTCAATTAAAAATTGTTGTTTTTATTGAATTGAAATTAATTAGTTATATCATCTGTAGTATTTATTTTGTTATTTATGAAATCCTTATAAGCCGGATATATTCACTGGATGAATAAATAGCAGTATTTAGTCATTTATCAGAGCATCGGTACAGATTACATTTTAATCGATAAATACAAAATAATTGATTTACTTATTGTTTACTACTACAGATGAAGAAATGCATCGAAAATGTACAGCGAAGAGCACAACTGAACTCATAACGATCATTTAAACTGTTGTTACTTTATCAAAGAAAAATTATACAATATTCTACTTGGTCTAATTTCAAATGGTCACAATTTTGAATTTTTTTTTGCCAAAAAAGATGATTTGACATCGTGTGATGAGAAAGCGAGGAAAATTGTAGAATTATACAATATTCTAGTTGGTCTAATTTCAAATGGTCACAATTTTGAATTTTTTTTTGCCAAAAAAGATGATTTGACATCGTGTGATGAGAAAGCGAGGAAAATTGTAGAATTATACAATATTCTAGTTGGTCTAATTTCAAATGGTCACAATTTTGAATTTTTTTTTGCCAAAAAAGATGATTTGACATCGTGTGATGAGAAAGCGAGGAAAATTATAGAAATTGAAACGCCTCTAAAAAACGTTGAAAAATTTTTTCCACCATCGTGATTGGTATTTAAAAATAGATACAATCTAAAAATTTGTTACGTAATTCTCATTCGACGCTGAACTTGTAGCCTTTTTAGGTAATTCGTGTCCAATAATGCGTCCAAGTTCGAGAAATGTTAGAATGTTGCCGGGCGTCAGAATTCATTGCCGTGAAATTCGAGTTCATTCGAAATACATACACACATATATATATATCGTGCAATTTGTTTAGAAGTTTCGTTAAATACAAAGGCCGTTCGCATAGCCAAGCCAGCCAATTCTCTAATTGTAGATGGCCCACAGTCGGTTTATTCGGTTCGTGCGCGAAACAACCGCGTATGCAAATCCGGTTTTGAGTTTGTCGATGAGTCAGGCAGCGGGGACAGCCAATTTTCCACGACTGTTGAATACAAAAAATACAATACGTGCATCGCCATCGCACGTGACGGTTAGCAAAAGTTAGCATTCCCCTATTTTTATATTTTTTTTCTGTTTAAACAAAAAGCAGAATTCCGAAAGCAAAATTCCAAAACTGAACATCGCTAAAATACGTATTTATTCGTCAACGTTCAAATTCCCTGATTTAAAAGGAATTGATTTTGATGTCTAACAATTGTTATGGAAATTAATTTATTCGCTTTGTTTAAACAAGGATCTCACGTCGTGTGAAATTTAAAACTAACACGTAGATTGCGGATTTTTCTGCATTTATCTGTAATTTTAGATAAATAAATAAATACGCGAAAAAGATATATATAAACTGTCCAAAGTGATACGTGTATCAATTTTTTTCCACCAAAATTCGATTTTTCAAATTGACATTTTCAAAAATATGGATTTGCATAGAGATTCATTAATAAATCTTCAATTTTTCAATTGGGAGATTGATTGAAATATTTATTTAATAATAAATATTTTAACTATTATTATTTTAATATTCATTTTCATTATTATCATTTAAATTACAGTGATTTATATGTATGTAAAATATTTTGATTGTGCGAATTTTAATATCCACGGTCTCCGATTAATATTAAATATTGTAACCGGACATCAAATATTGAAATCGTTACAATTTTGTAAAAAGAAATAGATATATATAAAATGTAAATATATTTAACTAGAGTATAGCCTATATATATATATATATATATTATAGAATATAACCCATACATATAATAAATGTCAATATAGCTTATGTTAAATTATATGAGTTACTTATATAACTCATATAATTTAATATAACCTTTATTCTACTTAAATATATTAACACTTAGTTAATTAGCTGATTGTTAAATCGTATTATAGATCAAAACTCTTAAATTATTAACCTTTAAATTAATTAAAATTTTATACAGTATCAAAAAACATTAATGTTTTAATCTATAATATGATAATAAAACATTAATGTTTATAATAATAAAAATAATAAATTATATAATAATAATACAATAATAATATTATAATAATATAGAATAAAACATTAATGTTTTAATCTATAATATAATTAAATAATCAGCACACCAAGTGTTAATATATATTTAAAAAAATATATATATATATATAAAATTTAATATATATGTATAAATATATATTATTATATCACTATAAATATATAATATATATAAATACATAACATATATATATATATAAATATATTTAAGTAGAATGTAGGTTATATTAAATTATAATTAAATTACATCCCCATCCCTAATATTATCGTACGATCTTCTTCTTTTTACAAAATTACAACAGTCCCAGTGTTTGCTGACCAGAATGTTAACCGGGGAGTGTCACCGTGCTTCAATTATTCACGTCTTCCCGGACGTCGACGTAACTAGGTTCAAGTTTCTCTTAAGAGATCAGAAGTCTGATCCAAGAGTGGCGCAGCAATACGTGCCTGTGGGATATTAGCGGCGTAACGAGTATTAATGACTCACCTGTGGCTGAGGCACGCAGGTTAGATCTATGGTGTCGCCCAGCAGGTCAGGGTCCATTACTCTAATGCCCGGAAGTATGGTCGAGCCAACGGGGAGGTCCTCCTCGGCCACAGCCTCGTACGGCACGTTCAGAAAACGCGGTGGATTGTCGTTCTCGTCGAGCACGATCACGTATGCATCCACGCCGACGATGTTCGGCTGTTGGCCCGCGGGCACTTCGTCTTCCAGGGTCACGCGGAATCGTATCGTGTCGGACTCCTGTAACAGTGAAATAATAATCCCATGAACTATGTCGGGATCACGTTCATTCAGACGAACACGTCAGTTGTATTCAGAAGTCGTTTGAGAATAATTTCGAGGGCGACATCGAGTCGAAAATTGAACAATATTTGATCGAGTAATTTGGTATAATTCGGTGAAGATTATTCTGGCGAAAAGTATATCGTAATATTTCATAATTATTATATTCTAGGTATTCATGGGATCAGTATCATTGATGGCCAACTGCTTTAATAGAAAAATATTTCATCAATAAAATATAAAATTTTTTTAGCGATGGATAATAAATTATTAATAAAATAAATCATCAATTTATAAAGGTATTAAAGTTCAGATAATTTCAGTTGTATGAGTTTTAATAAAGATAAATTTGAAAATTTTTATTCAATGCTAAATCTAAAATAAAATATAAGGTCAATGAAATAATTATAACTGTATAATATAATAAAATTATGAAATGAAGTGAAATTATTTGAATATAATGAATTTGAATCTTGCAATGTTATTATATTTCATGTTGAAATTTTTTTATAATAAAAATAAAAATTTTATACTTGAAGTTTGAATTCAAAGCACCATTTTGCCATATTAAAATTTATTTATTAAAAATACTTTTTATTTTATTTATAATTATTAATGGAATTTCATTACATGTATGATTAAATGGAGGATAATTATTTGATCATTCTAACGATGATTGGTAAAATTTAAATAAAACAAGTCGTTTAGATGTTAATCTTTCAAAAATAATATAAATTAAAAATAATTACCTATTTATTGAAATTATAGTAGCGAAAGAGATTTCATGATGAAGAGAGTGATGGCATGTTTATTAACTCTTTGAGTGCTTAAAATGATCAAAAGCATGAAATATCGTTTAATATCGAATGAGGCAGGCAAATTAAGAATGCGTTCGTCTTTTGATGGTTTTATTTAATATATCGTGATTACTGTATTACTCTGCATCTCTCCGACAAGTAAATTATTTGATTATTGATTACAGGATTGTCCGTACGATATTTTAATACGGACACTCGATGAGTTAAATAGAGAAACGAGGACGTAAATCTTCAGTCGGTGGATGATTTAGTTATGATATTTACAATGATATAATGATACGAATATCATTACAATGTTATAACTAAATATTTAAAGTTTCATTTATTGAAAGTATTGAACGAAAGAATGTTTGTATTTTTGATGAAAAATGATTTATATTAACTGGCTTCTGTGCCTTCTGTGTATGAATACACATATGTAATATATACATATATATAATATACGTTAAAAAATATATATATAATATATATATATTGATATATATTAAAAATATATATATATATAAAATAATATATAAATATATATATTAAAAAAATATATAATACAATTATATTATATTGTCTTATAGTATATTGTATTATGTTATACTATATTATATATTATATAGTATATTAATATATATATTATATATATTAATATATATTATACAGTACATTAATATATATATATATATTATATAGTATATAGTATACATTATACAATTACATAAAATTGTATTGCAGATAAAATCATAATTCATCGCAACATTTATGTATCTATCGTAACACGCGAACACGTAATTTTCCACTGCCGGTTTCATCAGATCTCGCTGCCCCCAGCGAGAACGATTTATCTCGATTAGACACTGTCTCAAATACTCAAGCCATATTTTCAAGTTCGTGCTCCACCAAACTGAAAACCAATTACAAGCGAAAGTTCGAACCCAAAGGTTTATCCACCGAAGCGCAAGAAAACCGCGCGATCGGCGAGGCATGGATAATCGTGTTTCTTCTCCTGGTTGATCATCCGGTCCATTAATCTCGGATAATGAACATTAATTGAGAGAAAAACGAACGTCGTTAAGCCCAAAGGGGGAGAGGGGGGAGGGGGGGGAGGCGAAACAGTTTGCACAGCTCGCCTCGAGAGTGGCACCTCGTTTACCAAGTTTTCCAGTTTAACAAATAAGCTTTCTTTCACCGATGTATCAAAAAAACCACCTTCCCCTCCCCCCTCATCTTCTCGGACGCCATGTTTGCATTTAAGCTTCCGCCGAGCGACGACGATTTTCTTAAGCTTGTTGTCAGAGAGAAGTCAAAGGAGACAATAAAATATATCTTATTTAGTTCCCCGGCGTGGCGTGTAGAAGTCTCGAGATAAATAATCACACGTTTATGTATTCCGAATGGAATATATTAAGCAAGTTTGCTCTCCCACGAAAGCGTTAAGCTTTATTTACCCAACGTACCTTTGTGTAATTTATTTGTTAATATTCCTCATCGTGGAACATTTGACAGCGTGATTGTCAATTAATATACTGTATTTATCTAGGGTATTTATTTTTGACTTGTTCTTCTTTACATTAACACAACGACTGTGGTGTGAAAATTTCTATTTTCAGAGGCAAAATATTTTTATTGTTGTATACTCGTTCAAGTCGCTGAAGATTCATCGTGGCGCGTTTGTAAAATTTCTATTATATTCAAAATTTGTGAATTTTTCAATTAATTTCTGTTATATTTATATTGTAAAATTTGTAAATTTTCTAATTAATTTCTGTTATATTTATATTGTAAAATTTGTGAATTTTTCAATTAATTTCTGTTATATTTATGTTGTAAAATTTGTGAATTTTTCAATTAATTTCTGTTATATTTATATTGTAAAAGTTGTGAATTTTTCAATTTCTGTTATATTTATAATGTAAAATTTATAAATTTTCCAATTAATTTCTATTATATATATATTGTAAAATTTGTAAATTTTCCAATTAATTTTTGTTATATCTATATTGTAAAATTTGTAAATTTTCCAATTAATTTCTACTATATCTATATTGTAAAATTTGTAAATTTTCCAATTAATTTCTATTATATATATATATATATATATATTGTAAAATTTATAAATTTTCCAATTAATTTCTATTATATTTATATTGTAAAATTTTGATAGTTATAACATCGTATTACGTATGTAAGATTCAAAATTCTCCTGAAGCAAAGTCGACGACAGCTATATCTGAAGCAATCGATTCTTTTGTCTGTATAATTCAAAACACGTCGACAAGTAATCGTACAAAATACCCGCGATACAAATCGAAAATCTTCGCTAAGAATCGTGTTTCAGCTTGAAGTTGTACGTCGCGTGAATTTCCTTCTTCTGAGGAGGCTTGTAAGTCCCAAGCGAGACTGTCGCGAGATCCTTTCGTGACTGGTTGCTATCGTGCGACTGATTTCAATCGAGTTCGAAGCAAAGTGAATTTACTTCGAAATAATTGCCTACGTAGAAACGACTGTGTGTTATTCCATCAAGATTAATTTTAACAATTTTGAAAAAATTCTCGTGAGAAGCGTTCGTCGGAGATATAAAAAGGATTGAAGATTAATTTCATCAATCGCCAATTTCGTTAGTCAGCCGATCAAACTGAAAATTTCGATCGATTTAATGCTCAACTCGAATGAAGCAATATCGTGAGATGAATTTAGAAATGTGTCAGCGTTTGGATAAAATCTTGAGATCGTTTCTTCTCAAAGTACATACAATGAAAAATTGTATCGATAATTTAAATTGACATGACTTCGTAAGAAGAGATCACGTAACAATATAAATCTCATTTTAAAGCGTGAACTCTCTGTTGGATGCAGAACCTTTTACGAATACTCGTTATGTGAACGTTCTATGAACTGTGTATACGTCCTACTACACGCGTATTGTGTTTATTACAAGTATAATAAATGTGTTTTGTATACGTCTCGTAGGACGAAATCAGTTCACATCGATTCAGCTTGAAAATCGACGTCGGCATCGTTGTGATTGTAAAGCTACATGATACAACTTATTTCAATCGTCGTTAATAATAATCGACGATTGAAATAAGAATTTAATCCTTTGATCGCAATGACGAACGATTAAAGTTAAACGAAAATCGTTATTTAAGAGGTTGGTCAACAATTAAATTTGGAGTGCATTCGTTAATTACGATTTAAACGTTATTATACGTATTACAGATATTGCAGCATCGTAGGTTGTTGTCGTACGTCGTTATTATATCTTTAGTTTTAGCATTTAATTATAACAGATGGCCTGTAGCGTGAAGGAATGCGAAAGAAAGTTTATTTGAATTGTGATCGCATATACTAGTTGTTAATTTGTGTTCTTTATTTTGTTTAATTATCTATTGTTCGATCACCATCATTGTTAGTAAATAAATATTATTTATATCTAATCTCTGCAATATTGAAAGATTGTTACGCCCACGAAAGAAAGAGACGAGTATTTGTCACTTGTATCGAAGAATGAGCACGAGTATAATAGTTGATTATTCATTACTCGTTGCAACTAACCTCTTGCGTTAGTAACTGGTTCGCGGACCATAACGAGTGACCAAACCGTACACAATAACTCGCCTTCTGTTTTGAATTCATCGGTATAAAAAGTAATAAATTTATTATTCGTTTTGCCTGGCTTATATTTCAATATACTTAGAACTGAGGAAATATTGCAATTTTGGGACGAAAAATTCTCAACGTGCAAGAGGTTAATGTGTATTTTAACACAAGTTGTCAAGTTTCCGCACGTACACACATGTTCGATAATAATTTATATATTATTATTATTATTATTATTATTATTATTAGATAATTTATATATATATTAACTATTATTAGTATTAGATAATTTATATATATATATATATATATATATATATAAATTATCTAATATTATTATTATTATTTGCGCTGGCAACTGATTGCGGACCATAACGAGAAATCAAACCGTATATGTACAATAATTCTTTTTGAATTCATCAGCATATCATTGGATTATCACAGAAATTACCAAGTAGTAATAAATTTATTACTCGTTTTGCCTGGTTTATATTTCAATATACTTAGAACTGAGGGAATATTGCAATTTTGGAACGAAAAATTCTCAATGTG